TCTTCCAGCTTTTTTTCTTTAAAGAATGTTTTTGCTTAATTTTATAAGTAAAGTTTTATTGGAACATTTTCCCTCATTTGTTTATATGTGGCTTTTTGTGAGATGCAATGGTAAGTCAAGTATCTGTGATGGAGATGTTATTGCCTGTAGAATGTAAAATGTTTACTATCTGATTCCCTATTTTCAGATACCTGAACATTAACACACTGTTTATTACTCCAATGGGAATAGAGTAGAATAAAAACAAATAGAAGGACATTTAGACCACTCTAGATTCAAGTGAAAAATAAGAATGTGCCTAGCAGCAGGAGAATGGCATTCTGTGGTTTGCTTAGAGTGTGCATGCAAGTGGCAGCTGTGTGCGCTTTGTCAATGAAGTATGCATGTATAGGGACAGGAAGATGGCTCAGTGGGTGAGTGTGCTTACTGTCAAGGTTGACAACCAAGTTTGGTCCCCAGAACCAATTCCCACAAGTTGTCCTCTGACCTCCACACATCCATGCATGTTTGTGTACACACACACACACACACACACTCTCTCTCTCTCTCTCACAGGCACACAAAATTTTAAAAAGAAATATTTATGTGCAGCAGGCAGCCAACAGAACACAAGTATATACTTACCATTTACCAAATGAAATATATAAATATGTATCAACAAATGTGGGGAAGGCTGGAGAGATGGCTCAGCAGTTAAGAGCAGTAGCTGCTCTTCCAGAGGTCCAGCGTTCAAATCCCAGCACCTACAACCTACATCTACATAGATAGCTCACAACCACCTATAAAAGAATCTGATGCCCTCTTCTGGCATGTAGGTGTACATGCAGCAGAGCACTCAGAAAATAAACAAATTTATGCTAGGCGTGGTGATATATGCCTTTGATCCCAGCACTACAAGGCAGAGGCAGGCGGATGTTTTGAGTTTGAGGCCAGTCTGATCTACAAAGAGAGTTCTGGGACAGCCAGGGCTATTACATAGAAAAACCCTTGTCTCAAAAAAATAAAAGCAAAATAAAACAAAGAAAGAAAAAAAGCAAATGTGGGGAAATTGATATATAAATGGTTTAGAGTTTAGTGTTCGTTTAATTTTATTTTCTCTTAAAACTTTAAAAGCTGCACCTACATATGGCTCAGCAATAGAGCACTTGCCTAGCATGGCTGAGATTGTAGGCCCAACCACTGCAAAAGTTAAATAAAGTGGATAGATAAAATTAAAAATAAATTGTTATTTAAATTATGGAACTCTGAAAGATAGTAAATACGACAATAAGATAAGTCCTGCTTCCAGCCAGTCTGTTCTCAGGTCTTTCATCCATAACACTGTAACCCTTTCCCCTTGACGACAGCTATCTGGCTGCCCTGGAATTTGGCAGGTGGGTCAGACTGGCTTCAGGGCAAGTCTTGTGCTTCTGCATTCCATGTGGGGATCACAGGTGGGAGCCACTATGCCCAGATTTTTGTTTGTTTGTTTTTTGTTTTGTTTAAAAAGAAGGGTTTCTCTTTTAGCCTTGGCTGTCCTGGACTCAATTTGTAGATCAGGCTGGCTTTGAACTCACAGAGATCCAGCTGTGTCTGCCTCCCTAAGTGTTGGAATCATAGGCGTGCACCACCATGCCCAGCTATGCTTAGTGTTAAAATCTACAAAAAAACAAAACAAAACCAAACTTGTAAACTGTAGCTCCTGGTACAGTAGTTGGGAACACTTAGTTCTTTTGCAGAGAACCTGTGTTTTGTTCCTGTGCCCACGGCAGGAGGCTGACAACTGCCTTCAATTCCTGCTCTAGAGGGCCTGACACTCAGCTTCTGCAGGCACTGCACGCTTGTCACAGAACCTCAATAGATACACACACACACACACACACACACACACGGTCACAAGTAAAATAAGTCATTTTTAATGTAATTCCTTATATCATGCAATACTGAGATAATCCTCAGTTATCTTTATTTTTACTGTTAATTCATATTTCTACAAGAAACAATATGGTTGATGCACCTTTTACATCCTCTTTGATTTATTGATTTTTACCTCCCTTTAAATATTTTTTTTTCTTGCAGTTTATTTCTAAAAGAAAGACTCTATAGTTTTATATGTTCTAGATTTCACAGATCACACCGATGTGGTCTTGTTTAACATAGGTTTTTGTCTTTTGTAATTTTGTAGACTGTTGGTGCACATAGATATAGATTGTGGTAAATCCATAATTTTGTTTGTTTCTCGAGAAAGCGTTTGTGTAGCTCAGGATGTCTTCACTCTTGTCATCTTGCCTCAGCCTTCCAAGTGTTGGAATTACAGGTGTGTGCTACCTCTCCTGACCCTGATATGTGCATCTTATTACAGGACATTAGCAGAAACATGCTGAGACTTAGAGGCCAGTGATCACTCTAGTGCAGACAAAGAAGAGATGTGACAACTCAGGGGTGGGCCCTTGGAAGTATTTGTGCACTTCCAGAATGAAATGTGGCCCCAAAAGCCATAGGTTGTCAATTAAATTGGTGGTGGTGGTATTTAGAACTCATTCCCAAGAAGCTTATGCAAGTGTCCTTTGTTTACATAACTTGTGGTTGCTGCTCATAGCTCACTTGTTGAAAGAGAAAGTTCAATGGCATTTAGGTGAAGGAGAAAGTTCAGGGGTATTTGTGCTCAGGTCTGAACCTGTGATCTCAGCCAGGATGATAGTAACCATTGATTTTTAAGCTATGCAAATACTAATTACATTATGTAACAGAACATAGGACTCTTTACTTTCTTGTTTGATTACAGGCCTACCACAGCTGATCATTTAAAAATTTATGTTGCTATCCTCAATCCCCTGCCTCTAGTAGGCAATAAATAGGCCTCATAACTTGGAATGGATATTTGTGTAATTCTGAAAGACTCAAAGTTTGTGCTTTCTCCTCTCAAGAACAGCTTATTCTGTGAGGAAGCATGGAACAACAACAACAAAAATAACAACAGTTGGCAACAAGTTCCCATTGTCCAGCAGATCAGTTTCAGCCCCCTTGGCTTGCCTTGCAGACCTACCCTGTGTTCAGAACTGTCCTGTCTGCCTACTCTTTAACTTTGCTTCCAACTGTTCCTCCAAGTAGTTACTCAATAAAGTTGCTTGTGAAATAGAAACAAAACAGTAAGATTTGGAGAGCATCAAAGGTCATCATCCAGGTTTGGGGTATAGCTCATGGAGAAAACAACAAGGCTTTTGTATAACCAGTCAAGAGAACCAGCAAAAACATTGAGTTGAAGTGTCCCAGCTCAGCTGCCAAATGTAGTAAGCCACGCTGAGATTTCCATCTCTTCTATCCCCAATAAGCCACCATTGTAGGTGCTCACTTAGCAATCGATAGCCCCTCCTGATCTGATACCTAAGCAGGTGTTTATTTGGGGGCAGGGTAGAAGGGGAGAGAGACAGGATTGATGGCTCTCTGTTTTAGGAGATAAGACTTTTTAGGATTATGAGTTGGACAGTTCAGAAAATGCTGTGCATCTACCTGCCTTTGAGAAAGAGGGCTAAAAGGAAAGTTGTTCTCTTTCTTTCTTTTTTTGAGATAGGGTCTCACTATGTAGCTCTGGCTGTCCTGGACTCAGTAGGTAGATCAGGGTGGCCTGCCTCTGTCTCCTGAGGGCTAGGATTAAAACACCAGGTGTAGTGTTTTAATGGCAAACAGTAGCCTGGCTTTTTTCCTGTGCTGTTTGACTTAGAAGCTGGTGAGGACAGTTTCTAAAAGACTTGGTGTTCTACTCTGACATGCTCATCCTTCAAGATAATTCTGTTGTTAAGATTCAAGACAGTAAACTGGCATAGGCTTTACTCTGTAATACAGTGTCACGGGTAGGAGGACACAGTTCCTTCTAAGCATGAAGGGACCCAGATGATCTTTTTTGATAAATCTAGCCTCCTAAACTTTTCTGCATAGAATGACAGGGCAGATTGACACAGTTCTCCTGTGTAAAAGGTTTCCCATTCTGTTTCATTACTTTATCAGGAGGTCAAAAATCAGTCTGAGAAACACCCCCACATAAGAGTTCTTTACAGAAAATAACTTATTTTGGTGCTGGAGAAAACATTTCTTTTTTAAATTTTTTTTTATATTAATTACAGTTTATTTACTTTGTATCCCAGGTGTAGCCACTTCCCTCATTCCCTCCCATTCCCACCCTCCTTCCCTTATTTTCTTCCTGCCCCTCTCTAAATCCACTGATGGGGGAGGTCCTCTTCCGCTTCCATCTGATCCTAGCTTATTAGGTTTCATCAGGACTGTCTACAATGTCCTCTTCTGTGGCCTAGCAAGGCTGTTCCTTCCTGGGGGCTTGGGGGTGTGGTTGTCAAAGAGCCAGCCATGGAGTTCATGTCTGAGACAGTCGGAGAACACTTCTTACAGAGGAACTGGGTTTAGTTCTTAGCACCAAAGTGACTTGCCCCTCCTTTAATATTCGGTACATGTTGCTGTGCTGTTTCTCAGTATACATGACCTATCCCTTAATACAATATAATATTCTTTGAAGGGAAAGAGGCTTAAAACTATCTCTTGATAATTCTAGGGCAGAGCTTGCCATTTGTAAATCCTCCTTGAGTGGCCGACAAGTTGAACAAGTTGCTACTCCAAGCATTGACAGGAGCAGCAAGTGTGAGCTGTCTCAGACTCCCACAAGCTGGGACTGTTGGCGTGCATGACTACAGCCACTACTCTGTGCATTCTGAGGCCAGGAAGTCTCCTAACTCTTATCAGATTGCTGGACGATTGCTGTCATTTGTTATGTGCCCTTCTCTGGTCAGGATTAGGTCTTGGTGTACACACTGTCTAGTCCTCATAGAGATCTGAAGTGTGAGCATCACTAGCTTCATTTTATAGATACATCTACTGACATTCTGAGAGATAGTACCTTGAGTTATTGCCTAATAAGTTGCTGAGTTGAAATTTGAACCTTGGGATGTCAGGCATCAAAATCCACTTGCTTCCCCACCCCTAGTAAGCTGCTTCCCCTCTTCCCTTTGTTCCAGATCCATCCCTGGAAGGCATGTGTGGCACTGAGCATGCCCAGCTGGGGGAAGATGGGCAGCGGCCGCCGCGGTGCACTTCAACTACCTCATCTCAGTCTGAGCCTTCAGAGCAGCTTAGGCACCAAGGCAAGATCCTAGCATCCGAAGACCCCAAAAAGAAGAGAGCTCAGAAGCCCTCTCATATGAGAAGAAACATACGGTGAGCTGTGTTCTGGGTAAGGACAATTGGAGGGATTTGACTAGTAGCAATAGCAGAAAGAATGTCCTCTTTCCAATAGAGAAAAGTGTTTAATTACGAACTGTCATTAATAGTGAAGATAGCACATGTGACACATGCCTATAATACCAGCACTCAAGGGGCTGAGGCTAGAGAATCGTGAGTTCCAGACTAGCAGAGGTTACATAAGGAAACCCAGTTTCAAAACAACAGCAACAACCACAAAAACCCAGTAGTGAAGGTGCCATTCAGACCCACTGCGTTGAGCTGCACAGAATGTAGGGAAATTTGGAGGGGCCATGGGTGGCAGCTCAATGATAGTAGAATCCTCTTACTTAGACTTTTCTTTCTTTGTTTCCTATGTGTCAAAACATGAAGTGTAAAACATATTAATAAACAGCAACAACAGAAAAACTCCCAACAAAACTTAAGTTTTCTTAGAATTAAATTTCAGATGGTAGGGGACTGACCTAAAAGATAACCAAACATGAGCTTTCTTAACTATCCAAATCCTCAACAACCCTTCCTTCCACCAAATAACAACTTGTTATTATTTAAGGAGATTATATTATTTATTTAGATTTAGTTATTTATTAGATTATTTATTACTAAAGGAGATAAATAACATCATTTCCCCCTCTTGTTTACTTTGTTGTTGTTGTTCATTTGTTTGCTTGTTTGAGACAGGGTCTAACCCAGTAGCTCAGACTATCCTGGAACTTACTGTGTAACCCTGACTTTGAACTTGTGGTAACGTTCCTGCTGTAGCCTGTCAAGTGCTGGAATTACAAGTGTGAGCCACTATGCCTGGCATTGCCTCACAGTTTTCAAAATGCATAATGGAAACTTGAAAAATATTACTCTAAGTTTAGAAAGTGATACAGAACCCCTGTTATCCTATTTGTCTGCCTAACAACTTTAAATTTGTTTACATATCCATGTGTTGTTTATTTATGGCATAGTGCACACACTTGAATATGTGGAGGCCACAGCAGGACATCAAAGTGTTTTCCTCTATTTTGCTTTCTACCTGTTGCTGTGAGACAGGGTTTTTCACTGAGTTGGAAGCTCATTATGGCCAGAAGCTCTTAGAATCAGCCTGTCACTGCCTCCAATAGTAGAGTTCTAAGCATGTTCAGCCATACCTGGCTTTTTATATGGGGGCTGAGAATTTGAAATTAAGTCCTTAGGCTTGCAGAGCAAGCTCTCCTAACTACAGAGCTGTCTTCTCCTCTCCTAACAGTAACACCCCCTCCCCCACAACACACAGAGTCTTCTCTAACCCTGGTGTGGGCTAGATTGGCACCTCAAAGAGACCTGCCTGCTTCTGCCTCCTGATGCTGGGAATAAAGGCATGTGCTACCATCCCTGGGACAACTTTATTTTAATACTGTTTCAACTTTGTAAACCATACTATTTTATTTACTCTTTTCTCTACCCTAAGATAGTTTTTTTCTGCAAAGCCTTGGCCGTCCTGGACTCCTTTTGTAGACCAGGCTAGCCTTGAATTCACAGAGATGCACCTGCCTCTGCCTTCCTGAGTGCTGGGATTAAAGGTGTGCTACACCACGCCTGGCTTTTATTTAACTTTTAGTCTTTTATTTTTCATTTATTTGTGTGTATGTGTGAGGTTGTGTATGGATGTGTGTGAAGTCAGAGGAGGATATTCAGTATCTTGCGCTTCACATTATTCCCTTGAGACAGTCTCTCACTGAACTTGGAGCTCCATGTTTTTCAACCAGTACAGGAGAAAAGCCAGGCAACTACTGACTAGCAAACCCAAGCAGTCCTGTCTTTGTCTTGTCCTATCCCACCCTGTGTGTACATATGGCCACGCCCAGCTCTTTGAGTGGGTGCTGGTAACCTTAACTCAGGTCCTCATGTTGCACAGTAAGTGGCTTTTACCAATTGAGACATCGCCCCAGTCTTTGAGACATCACCCCAGTCTATTACTCTAGGTCTTTTATATGCAGGCTCAAATTGGTAGGACTGTCTGTGGCAAAGACAAATAATGAGTAAAGTGTGATAGAACAGAACCATTTGAGCTTAAAGTCATCTGGTGCATCCAACTTCCCTTACCACATTGCCCAGGTCTTTTTGTTTGTTTGTTTTGTTTTACTTTTTGGAGGCAGGGTCTCACTACATAGCTCTGGCTGTTCTGGAACTCACTATGTAGACCAGGCTGGCCTCAAACTCATAGAGATCTGCCTGTCTCTGCCTCATGAGTGCTGGGATTAAAAGTTTGCACCACTATACCCAGCTACATTGCACAAATCTCAAATTAACTGAAGGGTTCTCTTTTTAATGTTTAGAAAGCTACTCCGGGAGGATCAGTTGGAGCCGGTTACCAAAGCAGCACAGCAGGAAGAGTTGGAAAGAAGAAGGCGCCTGGAGCAGCAGAGGAAAGAATATGCAGCACCCATTCCTACTGTCCCTTTGGAGTTCCTACCTGGTAAGCAGCTTTCTCCCGGAAACGACCATGTGACCAATAGTAAAGGTCTCAGCTTGCAGAGTGCTCAGCCAGGTCTGGAGTGCAGTCTTTCAGGAATTCTGAAGGCCCTTTGCCTATTGAGAGCCCACAGTCAGAAGCACAGTCACTTAGAAAGTGAAAATAGATTAAATACACTCAAATTAATCTTATTGAGGTGGGTTGTTTTCCCTATAACTTTAGATTTTAGTATGCCAAGGGAACTTGGAAAGGAGGCTGGGATTTTGTTTTTTAGCTTCCCTCTGCTTCTCTTCTCAATGACTTTCCACATTAGAGCAGCAAAGGAGGAATGTGGTAATCACTTGGAGAAATATGAGCTAAATGTGGGGAGTTTTATTTTTTTAAAAAATTCTTTGTGTGTGTGTGTGTGTGTGTGTGTGTGTGTAGAGGAACATTTGTGAACCATGGCACATGTGTATAGGCCAGAGGACAACTTGGAAAATTTGGTGATTTCACCCAGGCCTATGGCTTGGCAGCAGCACTTTTATCTGCTGTACCACCTCACTGGCCCTAAATGTGCTCTCTTCTATCTTTCTTTTTCTAGAGGAAATTGTCTTACGAGCAAGTGATGGTCCCCAGCTCTCTCCACGGGTCTTGGCCCAGGAAGTCATTTGTTTGGACAGCAGCAGTGGCAGTGAGGATGAAAAGAGCAGCCGAGATGGTAAGATCAGGCCAGAGGGGCCTCCTGTCCACTTCCTTCTGGCAATGTTCATCTTTACTGGGCCCCCTTCTTTCTTTTTTGATGGTGGGGGTATTGAAGCTATGTCTTACACTGTTGTCTGGCCTGAACTCACAATAATCCTCCTGTTTCTCAGCTTTCTAAGTGGTGGGATTAAGTGATCTACCACACTTCACTTGGCTGTACTTTTAAAAATTCAGTCCTGTTCATTGGTTTTGGGCCTACCTTTAGCACACTTAGCTGTTTTACCTTAGCTTAACTTGTCTCTGAAAGAAAGAAGCTTTAACAACCAACCTTCCTTCTTTCCTTCCTTCCTTCCTTCCTTTCTCTCTCTCTCTTCTCTCTCTCTCTCTCTCTTTTTCTTTTCTTTCTTTCTCTTTCTCTTTCTCTCTCTTTCTTTCCTTCTTTCTCTCTCTCTCTCTTTCAAGTGGTGACAAGATAACTAGGTGCCTGTGTCCTTTTGTTCTGATGAACAACAGTGCTGTGCTCCTTGGATTTTTGTGTCATTTTTTTTTTTTTTTCTCTGCCTCAGAGGTGATTGAACTGAGTTCTGGAGAGGAAGACACTCTGCACATTGTTGACAGCAGTGAGTCTGTCAGTGAGGAGGACGAGGAGGAGGAGAAGGGTGGCACTCATGTGAATGACACCTTAAACCAGCATGATGCTCTTGGGCGGGTCCTTGTCAACCTGAACCACCCTCCGGAGGAGGAGAATGTCTTCCTGGCCCCACAGTTGGCACGGGCTGTGAAACCTCATCAGGTACAGCCAATCTCAATCCTGTTCTCTTTTCTTTTTCCTTGCTGCAAGCATTGCCTGCTATTAGTATTATAGCCTGTAAAATAAAATACTTGTTATATCCCCAAAGTAGCTGTTGGAAAGCCTTAATCCAATTGATGCTTGAAGGTTCCTTTGGCTATGAAAATAGTGGGGAGAGAATAGGGCTATGCCTCAGGTTAGCCCGCTCTGGAGGTATTGGAGGGGTGGTGGGGCTGTCAGGAACATGCACTGCTCTTGCAGAGGACCCTGGTTTGGTTCTCCACACTGGCATGGTAGCTCTGTAACTCCAGTTGCAAGGAATCCGATCCTTCTGGACATCCAATGGATCCTGTATGTGCACATGACACACATACATGTACCCAGGCACACACAGAGAAAATAAAATCAATACCCAAAAAGTCATTTAAGCTCTTTACCACATCTTGATCCTGATGGATCAGCAAGGAGAAGCTTGAGAGGCATAGATTCAGAAGACATATAAAAGTCAGACATTAGGGAATTTCTGAAAATTGAGAGCATAATAATTTGTATTGATCCAGTTCCTGGAACTAGGACAAGTGAGTGAACATCCACACAGTCAGAGATTGACTCAGTTTCAGAACTTCCCACAGCAAGAACAGCTGAGTGAAAGACCTCAAGATTTTGATACTGAAGACTCTTTAACTCATATGGGCTATCATACAGAGTCGGTGCTATTTTGTGTATTCTCCAAGATGACCATTACCAACTGGAGTAACAGAGAAGCTTCTCTAGAGCAGTCAGGGTACAGGAAAACTTCCATGTCCACTCGTACCAGACATCTGACATAATACATGTTTATTTGGTAACCATTCCCAAGTGAGTAAAACTGTAAATTTAGCCCTGGTCTCCATTAGTGCTTCTGACATTTATTTGGTTTGTTTTTTTGTCAGATTGGTGGGATCCGGTTCCTATATGATAACCTAGTAGAGTCCTTAGAAAGGTTTAAGACCAGTAGTGGCTTTGGCTGTATCCTGGCCCATAGCATGGGTCTGGGGAAAACTCTGCAAGTGATCTCCTTCATTGATGTCCTCTTCCGCCACACGCCAGCTAAAACAGTCCTTGCCATTGTGCCGGTAAGAGCTCTTAACGCACCACTCTAAATATCTCTGGGTACCTAAAAGCTTGTTAAGTTCAGCTCTGAGCTTGCATATATGCGTGTGTTCGTGTGTGTGTTAGGGGTGAGGGGCTGCTTTGTTTAGTGGGTAAAAGTGATGATGACCTGAGTTCAATTCTGGGATCTACATAGAGGCAAGAGAGGAGAGGGCTGGTTCCCACAGGTTGTCCTCTGACCTCTACATGTACATACACAAAATATTGAGAGAGAGAGAGAGAGGGAGAAGTGGGGGGGGGGATAGGCCAACTCTTTTCTCTTTTGGGCCTGTCGTAGGTGAACACTCTTCAGAATTGGCTGGCAGAGTTCAACATGTGGCTCCCACCTCCTGAAGCCCTCCCAGCCGACAGCAAGCCTGAAGAAATCCAGCCACGGTTCTTTAAAGTTCATATCTTGAATGATGAGCATAAGTAGGTGGCCTACCCTGTCTTTTCTGTCTTACTGTAGACATCTCTGGGATTTTGAAGTATGTCTCTCTGTCTTCCTAAATTCTTTTTGGTTTCTTGACGTTTCTCTTTCTGTGTTTTGCTTGTCCCACCCCTACCCCCACTATACATAGTTGTTCAGTAAAGTCAGATGTATATAGCCTGGGAAGTGTGAAGTTTCTCTGTTCTGCTCTAGAATGCTTTTCTGTCATAAAATATCTGCAGCCTACTTACATTTTCTGGTGTATTTTATAGTAAAATTTAAACAGGATACAGTGAACTGCAGACTCTTCTTTGAAGCACTGGTGTGTAGTTGACCTTTAATAGTGCAACTTCCAAAACTTTGAAACTTTGGGTTTGTTCTGTATTTAAATAAAATCACTCTTTCCATTTTCTGAAGTTAACTTGATTTCCAAAAATCTAAAGTGACTTCTTGGGCCAAGCCAGCTGTCCATGCTTTCATTCCATCCCATCGGCACAGACAGTTTAAAAAGGCAGACTGCTTTTTGTGGCTTGGTCATAGCCATCAAAATGAGGAGACTCTGAGCGACCCAGCAATGGCTGATCACCTGCTTTGCTTTGTCGGATCTCAGGACCCACAAGTCATTAGTGCAACACACTGAGAGGGCTCAGTGCCGAGTAGTTGCTACCTAGGGTCTTTGGTTCTCTGTTTTCTTTGGTTTTGCCCTTGTACTTTTTAATTTTGTTTTGTTTTCATCGCTGGATCCTTGGCTAGGTGAAGTGTGGAGTGTTGCCCTTCTTTCCTTGACTTGCATTTACGATGGGAATTACCTGAAATGCTCTCTAGAATATTGCCTTGTAACTGTAGGTATATGTGCAAGGGCTGAGCATTTTCTATTGCCTTCTTCCATTGAATTACTGATTCTTATTGTTTAGCCATCTTCAATTATTGAGTTAAGAGTAAATTAGTATTTCTGAGATACTAGGAAAGTCCTTGATTAGCTAATCCATCTTTTGCTTGCTGCCAAATGAAATCTTTGACAATAAAGCATTCCAAATATAAATCACTGCATCGTTGATTAAAGAATTCTTCTTTATTAGCAGCAGAAGCAACAATGCTTTTTCTCTGTTTCCCATTCTTAAAAACTTAAAGCCTTAAAAACTAAAACTGTGTAGAACATTTCATATCTCACCCAGCTCTTTCTACTCCTGCAGGACAGTGGCATCCCGTGCTAAAGTGACAGCTGATTGGGTTTCAGAGGGTGGGGTGCTGCTGATGGGGTATGAAATGTACAGACTGCTCACTCTGAAGAAGTCCTTTGCCACAAGTAGACCGAAGAAAACCAAGAAGCGCTCTCACCCAGTCATCATTGATCTGGATGAAGAAGATCGACAGCAAGAGTTTCGGAGAGGTGGGTGGCTTATCCTGCAGATGCTCCTCTGGTATGTCAGAGTTGGAAGTGGCCAAAAGTACCAGTTAGGTGTGAAGTGAATTGTTGCCATAAACCAGCAGCTGGGTGGGACAGCCTTCAGTGGCTTTCAGAAAATGCTGAGTTTTTTGTAAGCCACACCTGGGCTCAGAGGACACTCCCCTGTCTTCCTGTAGGTGTTTGATTCACAGGACAGTTGAGAAAGTAACCACTGCCAGTACCAGTTCCTAGAGAAAGTTGAGAAAGTGTTAAGGAAGCGTAAATTGTTTCTATTATTCCTAGAAGGGCCGGGCATGATGATGTACATACACAGTGAGTTCCAGGTCAGCCAGGGCTTCAGAGTGAGACCCTGTCTCAAAACAAAACAAAACAAAAAATTCTCTAAAGCTAGTATAACGACAGAAGAGTAGTGATATTTGTAAAATTGTAAAAAGGAATCATTTCAGTTGCTGTTTATAATTCTAGTCTATCTTTAAAAAAAATATTTGGGGCTATAGAGATGGCTTAGAGGTTAAGAACACTTGTTCTTTTAGAGGACTCAGGTTCCCAGCATCTACATGATGGTTCACAACCATTTATAACTCCAGTTTCAGGGGATCTAATACACTCTTCTGATCTCCATAGGCACTTAGTAAGCACTGGTACACAGACAGACAGACATACAAACACACTTAATAAAATGAATGCATCTAGTAAAATCAAATATATATATATATAAAAGTCTTTGAGAATTTCATATGAAGTATTTTGGTCATATTCACCCCCCTCCTCCAACTCCTCCCAGAACTGCCCTCTCCACCCATACCTCCCTACCCCCATCCCTGCAACTCAAATTCAGTTTAGGTTGCTCTTGGGAGCGGATGTGTTGAATCCTCCAGGCATAATATCATTAAAGAAAGCTAGACCTCTCCCAGCAGCTACCAAATGCCAGTAACTCCTCAGCTAGTATTAGGATTCCTGCCCAACTTTCTTCCTCTATGCTGGGATATTGCCTGGCTTGAACTTGCCCAGGTTTTGTCCATGCTGTCACGATAACTGTGAGTCCCTATTTCAGTTGCTCTGTTGTGTCCAGAAAACACTGATTCCTTGAAGTTACCTACCATTTCTGCCTCATACAATCTTTCTATTCTTTTCCACAAAGATCACTGAGCCTCCTGTGTGTCTGTGTGTCTCTATGTGTGCTTACTCCATTTATGGATGAGCACATTACAGCTTCTTATTCTCTGCATGTTGACTCATTGTTGGTCTCTGTGTTAATTGCCCTCTGCAAGGAGAAGCTTCTCTGATGAGAAATGGAGATGAACTGGCCTGTGGATATCTATTCTATTTTAAAGAGCCTTCATTCATTGAAATTTTTTAAATATTTAGAAGCCATTCATTTTATAAGTCTTCATTCTGTGGTCTTCATTCATATCTGTTCTGGCTTTGCTTCTGTGGTAGAGGGACTTGGGGTGAATGTGCCATTTAGCAGTGAGAGGTTGTCCTTTACAAGCTCCTATCAGCCAGCCTTTAGAAGGACCCAAAATTCTGGATGCTAAGAGCCCACTGTGGTGTCTGAGTTAATCCTATGGATTTTATCCAGACACATTTTAAATCGTAGGCTCACAATTTGTGAAGACTCCCCTCTCTGTTCTCCAATTGATTTCAACCCTAGGGTTTCAAGTAATTTTTACTTCTAGCTTGAAAAAGAAATTTTTAAGCAAATAAGTAAAGTAAGGAAAGAGTGAGGATAAAAAGATATTAAGATAAGAGTCAGTGGCCAGCTTAGTATCCACAAAACATGCAGGAGCTTGTCTGGCTGGCTCCCTTTTACCAATGGGGCTGACTCTTGCTTTGCTTCCCTGCTTCCTTCATTTCTTCTGTCTCTTCCAGGGTTCTCCCCTACTTCTCATATTATTGACTAAGAGCAGGCCCTCTCACCCTCTGACTCCGGATCCTCTTCCCTCCTTAGAGTTTGAGAAGGCCTTATGCCGCCCTGGTCCTGATGTGGTGATCTGTGACGAAGGACACCGCATCAAAAATTGCCAGGCCAGCACCTCACAGGCTCTGAAGAACATACGTTCTCGTCGGCGGGTGGTGCTGACTGGGTACCCTCTACAGAACAACCTCATTGAGTACTGGTGCATGGTGGACTTTGTGCGCCCAGATTTCCTTGGTACTCGTCAGGAGTTCAGCAACATGTTTGAACGCCCTATCCTGAACGGGCAGTGTATTGACAGCACACCTCAGGATGTCCGCCTCATGCGCTACCGGAGCCATGTTTTGCACAGCCTCCTAGAGGGCTTTGTGCAGAGGTGAGTCCTTGTTTTCTGAATCCTTAAGTGGGTAGTGGGTATGCCTCAGCTATTATGAAGGAAAATGTTGCCACTGGAGGACTCTTCCTAGTAGAGCAGCAATAAAACTGAGTGAGTAGCAGATGCTGGATGCACTGTTTCTGTCTCTGGGAGTTTGGCCTGTGAGCACTTCACTCAACAGTTACCTTTGGTGAATATGGCAGCATGTGTCTCCCAGCATTCAAGAATATGATTAGGTGTGTTTGAGGCCACCAAACAAGCTCAAGGTAGCATTGTCTAAAGTTGCTAAAAATACCTGTTTTTTTAAAAGTAAGAATGAGCCAGCATTTTGCTGACTTTGATAAAAGAATAAATATAATTCTAGAATATTGCTTTACCAGTTTCAGCATTCCAGTTGATGTAGTGTAGGCTAGCCTAAAGCAGCCCTTCATTTTCCCTTGGTAGGATGGCAGGTGTGGAAAAGCTCAGCGAGGCATGCCTGAATTGAGGCAGGAGCCTAGAGGTCCTTTAGCGTTAGTTACCCAGTTAGTCATGACTCGGTACAGGTCACTTTGTCTGAGCCATCCTGCTCTAACACAAGGATGCATTGCTTGTCAAGAAATTTCCAGAATGGTGGTGTGGCAAGAGTGTAAGACCTTGTTTTTATCCTGCACTGACCTATCCTGGCCATAGTTCGAGGCTATGCTTCCTTGTATGCCACTTCTGATTTCTTTGCCTCGGTAGGAGAGGCCACACTGTGTTGAAGATTCACCTCCCTGCCAAAGAAGAGAATGTGATCCTGGTGCGGCTTTCTCAGATCCAGCGAGATTTGTACACACAATTCATGGACCGTTTCCGGGACTGTGGTAGCAGTGGCTGGTTGGGCCTGAATCCTCTGAAGGCTTTCTGTGTGTGCTGCAAGGTGAGTAGGGGCTTTGGGGGAAATGGACGGGAACTAAGGGTGCACATAATTCCTAGGGTGGTACTCCTGGTGGGAATCTTGCTGAAGGAAGAATAAAGTGAGAAGGGCTGCCTCCATTCACAACACTGGCGTATCCTTTGGAGGCTTCAAAAGAGACATGCTGATTATATGCCACAAAACTTCTTTGGGTACTGCTCATATAATATACCCAGTGCTTCCTTTAAGAGCATGGCTGTTGTATTGCTTGTTGTGCCAAACCCCAGAGACCATCCTTTGTTACTGACTTTTTGTCTTGAAAAAGAAGGGTGGTGGAGGGCTGCTGTGGGCAGGAGAGTTTTTACTGCTATATGACTGAGGCTGGACCTATTGACATATATATGCCTTTAATGCTAGCATTCAAGAGCCCTGAGGTGAGGGCATAGTGATTTGGGACAGCTTGAGCTCCATAGGGAGACACTGCCTCCGAAAAGTAGAAAATAAAAGAAGTTATACAGAGTACCTTCTGTTTGATTTGTATTTAATGTTTGAGATCTTTCTCATCCCTGCTATTGATCCTATTTCATTTCTTTGACCTAATGTCTCTGGTTATATTCTTGGCAGATCTGTTAGGTATTGTTCCTGATTCATACTTCTTCAGTAAGTTGGCTGAAGATAATAGCTCTGGGGTCAAGTGGGGTTTCTTACTCACTCACTCACTTGCTCACTCATTCATTTGTTCATTCATTCATTTGTTCGTTCGTTCATTCAGAGTCTCACTATATAGTCCAGGTTGTTTTGGAACTCAGATACTCCTGCCTTAGCTTCCTGAATGTGGGGTTACTGGTGTGTGCCACCACACCTGCCAATAGGTGGGATTTCAGGCCGGGCATGGTGGCGTATGCCTTTGATCTCAGCACTCGGGAGGCAGAGGCAGTCATATCTCTGAGTTCGAGGCCAGCCTGGTCTACAAAAGAGAGTCCAGGACAGCCAAAGCTACACAGAGAAGCCCTGTTTAAAAAAACAAAAACAAACAAAAAAAAAAAACCAAACCAAAACAAAACAAAACAAAAACAAAAACAAAAAAACAGAACAAAACAAAGAAAAAGAACAAAAAAAAAAAAAAAAAAAAAAGGGATTTCAAAATACCTCTTTTGTCTTTTGAAACAGAGCCTTGCCAAATTGCCTTGACTGGACTTAAACTCTTGGCAATTCTCTTGCCTCAGCTTGAGGCACTTCTAAGTACCATGACACGTGGCTTTCAAAATACTGCTTTTGTAGACACTGCCATGACCAGAGCCAAAAAACAAAAGCAGAAGTGTTCTTTTGATAATGTTCTTGGTTATGGCGTCCTTCCTTCTTTCTCCTTTACCAGGAATTCTCAACTTTTCCTAGGAATCATTCCGAAATTACAAATGATTGGTAATCTGTCAGTCAAATATCTTTTTTTTTTTTTTCCATAGGAAGGGATTCATTTTGCTTTGTATAGTAGCTTAATGTAGCCCCACAATGAGAACAAAGCATTCTTGCCCTGTTTAAGAATGAAATGCTAGTGATACAGCCCTTTTGACTATACACCAAACACAGTGCTACCTCCCATTCATGTGTCATGGTTATCAGAGCCAGCAGGGAAATACAGGCTCTTTGACAGTGAAGGGTTTGGGGGTACATTAGTTCTGGGTATGAAATGTGAGCTGTAGCAGCTGTCTGTTTGAGCATGTTGCCATACTCCTTGGGGCACTCTTGGAGTGTTCTCTCTATACCCTTTCTTTGTGCAACTTTAGATCTGGAACCATCCTGATGTGCTGTATGAAGCCCTCCAGAAGGAAAACCTAGCCAATGAGCAGGACCTAGATGTGGAAGAGCTTGGCTCAGCAGGGACCAGTGCCCGCTGCCCACCCCAGGGCACAAAAGTCAAGGGAGAAGATAGTACCTTGGCTTCCTCAATGGGAGAAGCAACCAACAGCAAGTTCCTACAGGGAGTTGGCTTTAACCCTTTCCAGGAGCGAGGCAATAATATTGTTACGTATGAATGGGTGAGTCAAGCAGAGTCTTCAGTAAGCTAAGACTGCTTCTAAGGAAAGGATAGTGTACACAGTGTACTGTACTATGGGCCCTGTGCAAAGAACTTTAAAGGTAGTCATTGGGCTCCTGCCTGAGAGGAAGAACTTTATTTTTTCCCATCCAGCTTTGGATCTGCTCCAGTCTTTCTTCTCTTTTGTAGGCCAAGGATCTTCTGAATAATTATCAGACTGGAGTCTTGGAAAACTCTCCCAAGATGGTACTTCTTTTCCACCTGATTGAAGAAAGTGTGAAGCTTGGGGACAAGATCCTTGTGTTTAGGTAAGAAGAGGGCTTGATGAATGCAGCATCTACAGAGAAAGTGTCTGGCTTCAGACCTACATTTGCTTTTCCCAAAGCACTTGTTGTTGGGGTTTCTTTGCATCCCAACACCCAACCTAGGTTCTTTCTCTTGCCCACAGAAAGGATTGGAAACTACGTGTTGACATTGGAGATCATATTCTAGATACTCAAGTCTGACTGTGGCCCAGACCAAATCTGGCTACCTTTTATTTATTTATTTTAAACATTTACTTATATATTTACTTTATTTTTGTTAAAAGTTTTGATTTTATTTTACTTTAAATTTGTGGTGCTGGGAGTTGACCCAGGGACCTCATTTATACTAGGCAAGCACCCTAGCATTGGGATCAGCAAATGCCTTTATGTGTTAATCTGTCTTGTCAGCCCACTTAGGTTTTTGAGACAGGGCTTATATAGCCAGGCTGGTTTGAATGCCTGATTCTTCCACCTGCACTTGCTGAATGGTGGGATTGTAGGTGTGTGCCACCACCCCTGGGATTACTTTTTAAAATTTTGAGATAGAGTCTCACCAAGGTGTCTGGGCTGGTGTTGAATTTACTCTGAAGCCTACACTGGCCTTGAATTTGTGCTCCTCTTGCTTCAGCATTCTATGAAGGTGCGATTACCAAGCCCAGCTAGTTTTTATATTAGTTTTGTAAAAAGAAATACAAAGAATAAAAAGTATCTGTAGTCAGCCAGTTGTGGTGGCTTTTAGTCCCAGAACTTGGGGGAAGGAGGCAGGTAGAACTCTGCGAGTCTAAGACAGCTCAGTCTACATAGTGAGTTCTTGGGCATCCAGGGCTATGTAGAGAAACTCTGACTCAAAAACAACAACAACAACAACAAAAAAAAACCAAAACAAAAAGCAAAAACAAAAATAAACAAAACAAAAAATAAACAAACAAAAAGACGGTATGTGGTCAATGTAACCTGAAATGTTTTCTGTCTTGCTCGTTTCTATCTTCTCCTCTGCCCTTTTAAAATAAGATTTTACATATAAGGCTAAGTAAGTGATGTGATTTTTGCCAGAGTCACACTCTCAGTCTAGCTGGGGCTTGGAGTCTCATCAAGACCTGACTATATAGAAGGAAGCAGGTATGAAGTGGATTGTTTTTGACCACATTATGCCCCAAGGGCCCTGGTTTGGGGTCCTCAGATGAGGGCTTCCACATGTAAGAGTCTGTAGTGATTCAGACTTGTCCCCCTGATTTTCATACTTCTTTTCAAGAGCCCAGATCTCTAAATGTTTTGAAAACAGTCAAATGGATCTGTCTCTACAGTAAGATACTTAAGACAATGGCCCACTGTTAGACTCATTTGTATCACCATGTAGTTACTACTAAATATTACTAAGCATTAAGTTAAACCCTAGAATTTTCAAGGAGAGATTAAGGAATTAGAGAAATTTTTGTTTGTTTGTTTGTTTGCTTTGGTTGGTTGGTTGTTTTTCTGTTCTGTTTTTATGGGTTGGTAGTAAGAAGTATATGACTGACTCCTCCTACCTATGATGAGCTAGGGAGAATCTCCTTGCTTGTTCTTAGTAGAATTCCATCTTACAGGGAGTAGCCTGGGGGAACTCCATTTGGAAGGTTGCACAGGAATGTAAGAACAAGGATCCTTGGGACTTGGAGCCATCTGAATTACTTTTTCCCTTTCAGCCAGAGTCTTTCTACATTGGCTCTCATCGAGGAGTTCCTAGGGAAACGAGACATGCCCTGTCTGCCTGGTGCCGAGGGCCAAGGAACACAGAAGTGGGTTCGAAATGTCAGCTACTTCCGTGAGTTTATTGCTGCTTTATTTCTGGAGTCTTGGCAAGATCTATTTAAGGGTTTCCTTTCTTTCTCTCTCTTTTTTTTTCTCTTCTTCAACTCCATTTTTCTTCAAGTGTATAGAAATATGCGATTAGCCAAAAAATAGGAGGATACTGAGAAGCAGCTTTTAAGAAAGAGTCACTGGGAGGGCTGGAGAGAATGGCTTAAGTGCTGGGATCAAAGGCATGTGTAACCATGGCAGGCTCAAGCTGGGTTTTGAGAAGGGCAGAGTTGCTATGTAGGGGTAGCTGGAGGAGTCTTCTAGGAAAGATGAAAATTTGAATGTTTAAAACCACTGTGGCCTATTGACATCCAGTTTAGAGTGAGCATAACCTAGATCATACTTTCTCTGTGGGGGAGCTAAATACTTCCAAAAGGATGAAAAGTTTAGAGTGTGTATGTGGGAGGGGAAATGCTTTTTTCAGATATGTAATTTATAAGTATACATAGTCATATATACATTATATCTGTAATACTAATATTTTATGGAAGACATGGTGTGATTTAGAAATGATATCTAAAAGGATTCCGTAAGTGAGTGGTAATATAAAATTAAAGTTGAGAAATATTGACCTGATCCTGTTGACATTTGGGCCAGACTTATCTGACCTGTCTGTTGTAGGATAGTCAGTAATATCTGTTTTTCTGTTTGTTTGTTTGTTTTACAACTTAATGTCAGTAGCATCTTCAATTTTGAGAACTAAAAATGCCTTCAGTCATTGCCAGATTGTTCCCTAAAGGTAGGAGGGTGAAGAAATAACCGTTTTAGAATCACTGGCCTAAAGAAATGATTTAGAGAAATGGAAATATAGGGTTTGTGTTTTCTATAGGATTCCCCAATGAGACATCAGTGAACTGTGCTTCAGTATTACAAACTCAGGTTGAAAAGTAGACTAGTGTCCTGATTGAGAACACTGGAACCAGGCAACTAAACCCAGGCTTTTACTCAATTTTTACTCAGTTCCCCATCTGGTATCTCATAGCCTTGGTTTGTCCTTAACCCAACTGACGGATGTTGTCCTTCTCTTACTTATGCCTCTTACTTTAAGCTTCATATGCTGAAAGTGATGATTTCTTCTACTTGTAAATTTTATCTTTTTGTTCTTAATGAATGACACGGTTTTGTTTTGAAATAGGATCTCACTATATAGCCGTTGTTTGCCTGAAACTCACTATGTAGACTAGGCTGACCTTGAATTCTTGTTAGGGATCAATCTGCCTCTGCCTCTCAAGTGCTGGGATTAAAGTTGTGCATCACCACACCTGACTTCCAGTCTTTTTGTTTTGTGTGTGTGTGTGTGTGTGTGAGTGTGTGTGTGTGTGTGTGTGTGTGTGTGTGCATGTGTGCTGTGCTGCTTTATAGCAAGTTGTTAGTATCAAGAGCTTTAAAAAAAAATACGTAGCAATGTCTTGCTGGTTCTGGTGGCGCATACATATAAACCCAGCATTTAGAGGCTGAGGTAAGATGATTGTGAGGTAAAAGCTTGCCTGCACTATCTAGTGACACTGTTTAAAAAGAAAACAAAACCATTTCAAGGAAGAGGAGCTATAGAAGAGTGTTGTCTGATCAGAACACAAAATCCTTCGGGTTCCTGCTCTCACTTAAGAGTCTCAGATAAAGGCAAATGGTATCCTGAGTCAGTATTTTCTAAGTTCCATAGTTGAATCTGATGCAGTCTTAAGTCTAGAAACCTTAGCCTTGATTCACTAGAGGGGAAAAAAGTGTATTTTAAAGGTGTTTTTTGGTTTTTAGTTTTTCAAGACAGGGTTTCTTTGTATAGTCCTGGCTGGCCTTGAACTCTGAGATCCTCCTGCCTCCGCCTTGTCAGTGGTGGCATTAAAGGTGTGCCCCACCACTGTCAGGTTGTATTTCACAGTTTTGTGTTATTTACATGTGAGAGTTACATGGTACAGTTTCATAGTGCTGATTTGAGGGCTCATCATAGACCCATCCATGGTGTGACCAGAGGTTAGATCTGAGCCCTATAGTATGTTTGTCTTTTTTAAAAACACATTTGCGGGATTGGAAAGCTGGCCCAGTGGCTAAGAGCTCATGCTTCTCTTGCAGAGGGTCAGAGTTCAGATCCTAGAATCCATGTTCAGCAGGTCACAAACATTTATAGCTCTAGTTTCAAGGGAATTGAATACCTGTGGCTTCTGCTGGCACCTGCATTCATATACATATACCCCCTCACAGACACAAAAACATATATACAATTAAAAATTAAAAATGAGGGGGCTGGAGAGATGGCTCAGAGGTTAAGAGCGCCAGCTACTTTTCCAAAGGTTCTGAGTTCAATTCCCAGCAACCACATGGTGGCTCACAACCATCTAAAATGAGATCTGCTGCCCTCTTCTGGCGTGCAGGTGTACATGCAAACACACATTGTATACATAATAAAGAAATAAATCTTTTAAAAAATTTTTTAAATAAATCTTTTTTAAAAACCCCAAACATTTTCTCAGTGACTTTGCTGATTTTCTCTGCCCTCATCTGTTCAATTTTGTTTATTTTTCTTTCTTCCTAGGGCTAGATGGTAGCACCCCTGCCTTTGAGAGGGAGCGGCTTATTAATCAGTTCAATGATCCCAGCAACCTCACCACCTGGCTGTTCCTTCTCTCCACAAGGTGAGTTCATGCAATTTGCCACCTGGGCAGGTACCACAAAGGCTCATCTAAGTCTGAGAAGAGATCTACTCAGGTTTGTAATTTTTTTTTTTTTTCAGGTCAGAAAGGGGACCCCAGGAAAAGTTGTTATGAAGGTAGTCATTACAGTGTTACAAAGTTCTTTGAGACTTTCATTAATAATTGCCACAATTAGATTTCCTCTCAGAAGTGCTCTGGGCAAGGAGTGTTTTACTTCATAATGTGATCAATGTAAATAAAAATGCTTTAAGAAGAAAACCCCTAGTTCCAGCTATCAGGAAGTGGGAAGATTTTGAGTTCAAGGATACCCTGAGCTCTGTCAGTGAGTCCTGCCTCAAAACAAACCCAAACAAAAAATAAATTTTAAGTGTAGTGTTACTGCAAAAGGCTGATGTTTTCTGTATCATGACAAGTACCTTAAAGGCTTTGTAGCTTTCTGCCAACATAATGTTCAACAGTGTATTGGTTCTTTTTTGTTTGTTTGAAAAGGTTCTGATGTAGCCCCAGCTGGTTGTTAGCTTCTGATCTTCCTGCTCCTCTTGCCCATATATTGGGATCATAGGCTTGTCCACCACTCCCAATATATAGGAGTTTTTCATTCCTTTTAGTTATGAAAGTAAAAATACTAGAAACATTTTATGTACAGACATTTCTGCTCACTAAGGCACAGCGCTCTAGAGCTAAGCTTTTAGAAGAGATGGAGAGCTGTAGACATTGTCATATTGGACATTAAGGCACACTTCTCAATGCTTGAAGAGCAAACGCAGTGATTATCAGGACAACAGAATTTTTGAGTTTATTGTGCTTAAGGCAAGGAGTGTTGCTGCAGTAGGAGTCACAGCAGGCAAACTTAACTAGAAAACCATCTTTAAGACTAAGGGCTCTATGGTTGTTGGCTTATGTTTTCAAGGGCCGGATGCTTGGGTGTGAATCTGATTGGTGCCAATCGAGTGGTGGTATTTGATGCTTCCTGGAACCCTTGCCATGATGCCCAGGCAGTATGTCGGGTATATCGTTATGGGCAGAAAAAGCCCTGTTACATCTATCGCCTTGTGGCTGATTATACTCTTGAAAAGAAGATTTATGACCGGCAGATTTCCAAGCAGGGCATGTCAGGTGGGCCATTTTCCAGGCTATTTCAGATACTTCTTAAAAAATATATTTATTTATTACTTTTGTTTAATGTGCATTGATGTTTTATCTGCATGTATGTATGTGTGAGGATGCTGATCCCCTGAAACTAGAGTTATAGACAGTTGTGAGCCGCCGTGTGGGTGCTGGGACTTGAACCCGGGTCCTCTGAAAGAGCAGTCAGTGGTCCCATTTCTCCAGTCCCCAGATGAACTTTTTTTTTTTTTTTTTTTACGAATTATTTATCTATATTACATATATGAGTGTTCTTTCTATAGGTCACTTGCATTCCAAAATAGGGCATCAAATTCAGTATAGATGGTTGTGAGCCACCATGTGGTTTCTGGGAATTGAACTCAGAACCTTTGGAAGAGCAGACAGTCCTCTTAACTACTGCGCCTTCTCTCTAGCCCCTGGATACACTTCTATACAAGCTGCTATCCTATAAGGGATCAGGGATGTGATCTTTGACTGATATATGTAGAAAGCTTTTCCTTACTTTCAGTTAAGCCACTTTCTCTCTGCTGGCCTTTGTAGTAGTGTTTTCAGTCTTCTTTGACATGTGCAGACTTTGTTCTTATCTTTTTCCGTCTAGATCGTGTAGTAGATGATCTAAATCCAATGCTGAACTTCACCCGGAAGGAAGTGGAAAACCTGTTGCACTTTGTTGAGAAGGAGCCAGCTCCCCAAACATCTTTGGATGTAAAGGGGATTAAGGAATCAGTCTTGCAACTTGCCTGTCTGAAGTACCCTCACCTCATCACCAAGGTAAGAATCTAATATAGGTGAAGACCTTGGTATGACAGATTCAGTGAGTGAAGACCTGTTTGCCAAACCTGCTTTCTTCTGAGGTGGTATTTAATGCACAAAACAGTCCAGTCTTCGAAGTGTTGAGCTTAGTCAGCCATGTCCAGTCTCCTGTGAATCTCCCTAACAGAAGGAGGGGCAATGTGCTGAATGCAGTTTAATTTTCTGAACTCTCGATGCTTTTGGTGGGGAATATATGTAAACTTCTGCATTTGAAATGGTACTAGGTTAGAGTTGTAACTCTTTTTTTTTTTTAAGTTTACTTTTAGTTATGTGTATGTCTGTGTGTGTGTGTGTGTGTGTGTGTGTGTGTGTGTGTGTGTGTGTCTGTGGAGCCCAGAGTTGTTGGGTCCCTCTGGAGCTGGAGTTACAGGCTGTTGTGAGCTGCCCAACATGGGTTCTGGGGATTGAACTTGGGTCCTCCACAAGAGTAGTATGTGCTCTTAACTCTAGGCCAGAGCCATCTCTCCAGCTACTTTTTAATTTTTGAAATTAACTTCTATATGTGTGTACATGTTTACATATGTATGAACTCATGCACCCACCATGGCATGCATGTGGAGGTCAAAGAGCAACTTTGTAAAGTCTATTCATTCCTCCTTCTGTGTGCATTCTGGTCACCAGGATACATCTCACCAGCTGGCAAACTACACTATTGACAGAACCTGCTTGTTTGCCTATAAGCAGGTTTTTTGTCAGTGTCAGAGACAACCAACTTCTTCTTGGTTCCAAAATAAGCTCACTGTAATATCATTGTATTTGCACAAAGACTCGTAATTAAACTCAGATCCCCTGTGTCTCTAGGAGCCTTTTGAGCACGAGTCATTGCTCCTCAACCGAAAGGATCACAAGCTGACCAAAGCTGAGAAGAAAGCAGCAAAGAAAAGCTATGAGGAGGACAAGCGCACATCAGTGCCCTATACCCGCCCATCGTATGCGCAGTATTATCCTGCCAGCGACCAGAGCCTGACCAGCATCCCTGCCTTCAGTCAGAGGAACTGGTGAGTTGCTGAAGGAAGAGAGTCTGGATGGTCTAGACCCAATTTCCTTTCATTCAGTTCCTGTTTCAGTCAAAGGGAGAATCTCTTTATAACCCGTTCTTTGGCTGCTACAGAAAAGAAGGTCCTGCTCTAGGGTCAGGTGTCAAAGCACCTTAGCTGTACTAGTTCTCTTAACTGCTCTAGTTTTGACTTTGTTGGCTGGAGAAATGAGCTGCTGATTTTGCCGCTCAAAAGAGCCCCTCTGATAGAATGATATAAACTGTTTGACTTTTCGGGTCATTTGAGTCACATGGGAATGTATACACCAGTCCAGCAGGGTGTTTTCCTCGTATGTCAAGACCAAAGACCTCACAAAGCTTATTGACAGGTAGGGTTGGGAGATGTTCAGCAGATAGAGTACGCTATATGCAAGCCTGAGGACCTGAGGTCAATTCCTGGAAGCTACATGTAAGTGAGAGGGGAAAACTGACCCTACATAAGGCCTTCCTCTGACTCAAACACATACACAGCAAATACTTGTATACAAAATAATATTTTTTTTCCTTCATTATTCATTGAAAATTTACTGTGTTTAATGCATTCACCCATGGCCCAGCAGAGTGCATTTAAGTACAAAGAATCAGTGAAGCCATTCCAAGTCAAGTGTAAGAATACTCTTTTGAGTCAGGGCACCAGGTGTTCAAAATGTCGTGAGGTAGGAAATACCAACAAATATATTCTTAAAAGCTCAGCAAAAGGAAGTTTCTTTACAAATCCTCAATCTGAAGAGCAAATGTGGTGGTGTACGCCGGTAATCCCAGCACTTAGGATGTAGAAGCAAGAGAGGAAGGAAGGGCTGGAGGAACAGACAAACACGCCGATGGAGGGAGGAGAAAGATGGTAGGTGGCTAGATGGATGACTGACTGCATGGACATATCTTGATTTTGAAGCAGTAGTAGCTTTATCGCATACCATCATCTAGTTGAAAGGAAGGTGAACCAGGAAAAATGCACTATTGGCCACAGGTGACATTTTATTAGTAAGAGATGCATAGCCAGTTCTCTCTCTGGCTGTAATACCATGCCATTGCTGTGTCATCTAGAAGTCTGGTTTTGTGCAAGGGCTTTGGTTGCTGCTGCTTTTGTGTGGTGGTCATAACTAGAGGGGTACTGTACAGACTGACCAAACAGGAGCCAGGAGAAGCATCATAAAAAATTATTTGGAAAAGAGAGGGACATCTGTGTAACTTACTGAGGTTTGAGATATGTGTGTGAAAGAATCAGAGAGGAGTAGAGATGCCGGATGTTGGCATAGATGGTCCCTGGTGTTACCTGAACATGTGGCATCACGTAGGTGAGTCAGGGTAGATTCTGCCCTGCAGATTTCAAATTATATTTTCAACTTAAAAAATGTCAAGAATTTGCCCTTCCTTTTATATTTTTTATCATCTTATCTTCCCTGTAGATCTGATGTAGATGGTCCAGTTTCTAGAGAAGAAGATGGTATCTTCTATCTCTGAAAGGCATTACTTCACTAACATCTGACTGCTTGTCCTTGGACTTCCTTTCTGCTGTGATATCTCCGTCATGCCTCTATCTCCTTTAGAATTGACTAGTCTCTGCATGTTCTTCCAATGCTTCTCTCAACAGTAGCTAAGGGCACAGGGCATGACAGTCTCCAGCAGTTCCGTGGCTGTTCTACCCAACTCTAAATGTGCTTGTCTTCTTCTTGCAGGCAGCCAACACTGAAGGGTGATGAAAAGCCTGTGGCCAGTGTTCGTCCTGTACAGTCCACCCCCATCCCCATGATGCCCCGGCATGTCCCACTCGGCGGCAGTGTGAGCGCTGCCTCCAGCACAAATCCATCCATGAATTTCCCCATCAACTACTTGCAGCGGGCAGGAGTCCTTGTGCAGAAAGTGGTCACTACGACAGGTTGGGAATTCCCACTTTCTATTTGGAGCTGTTGTCTGCCTGCCTGCCTGTCTGTCTTATCTATCTCTTTAAATTAACCCCTCCTCCTCTTTATTTATTTATTTATTTTTTATGTGTGTGGATGTTTTGCTTGCATGTATGTAACTGCACCATGTGCCTACCTGGTGCCTACAGAGGTCAGAAGAATATGTTGGATCCCGTGGAACTGAGGTTACAGACGATCGTGAGCTGCTGTATGGGTGCTAGGAACCAATGGGTCCTCTGCAATAACAGCAGGTGCTCTTCACCATTTATTTTGTGTTCATGTGTGTGCCACAGTGCTCATGTGGGCCCTGGGGATCAAACTCAGGTTGTCAGGTTTGACAACAAAGTACTTTTATTCACCAAGCCATCTTACTAGTCTAGTGCTGTCTTTTGTAACCTGATTTTGTTCATTCAGGATGTGTTCATTAAACACCTTTTGTGTAGACCTTACCATATTTGGCACTATAGGTAAAAATGAAGATTCCCTGATCTTGAGGAATTTGCCTCCTGGTAAAATATCTCTCTCTCTCTCTCTCCCCCCCCCTCTCTCCCCCCTTCTCTAATGGGTTTCTCTGTGTAATTCTGGATGTTCTACATAGCCTGGTGAAATATCTTAATATAATATATGACTTGGGTTTTTGCTGTTGTTGTTATAATTGCTTTAGAATGGTGGTGAGTGCAATTTTATGAATACCGCAGGGATTCTGGAAATGTTACTGATGTGGGTTTGGACTTCCAAGGTTTTCAGAGAGATGAATGTGCTGAGCTCTGCCTAAATGTTTGCGGGGTCAGCTGGGTATAAAAGGGCCAGCCTACAGAGTTAGGAGACCTGAACTGTCATCTGCTTTTTTTTTTTTTCTGTGTTAGTTTGCTGTAGATTGAGCATGGTAGGCCAGGGGACAATGGAGGGAGGTGGACATTTCTGCTGAGCCCTGAAATGTCTGAGATTCAGAGTAAGTGGGGAGGAAAGCATTTAATGAGTTTGCTCTTCATCTTGCATTTTGGAAGTGTCCATGCTATATACATTTTGATGAAAACATCTTAATTGATTTTTCTAAGAATGAAAGCAATTTATGACAGTTTTGAAATAAATTAAACAAAGTTCTTGATAATCTTATTTCTCAACTAAATTTGTTTTGTTTTTGTTTTTTTTTTCCCCCAAGACAAGGTTTCTTTGTGTAGCCTTCTCTGTCCTGGACTCACTTTGTAGACCAGGCTGGCCTTGAACTCACAGAGATCTGCCGGCCTCTGTCCCCCAGAGTACCTGGCTCTCAATAGTAAAAATACTCCTGTCCTTTCAAGAGTTGTGGGAAAAGCCAGCAAGAAAGATGAGACCACTTTTGGAGCTTAAAATGATGTGGAACAAACACATGCAAATAGTTCACGGGGAAGAAAAATAGAAACAATCATTCCAACTGATTTTTTTTTTTTGTAAACTAAAACCGTATGAATTTTTAATTAAAGTAAAGGAAATAGATCAGGGAGAGGACCAGATTTCTAAGCAGTTTTGATTTTCATAGTATTCTTCGATGAGACAGTTGTGAAAGGTTCTACTTGTTTTGCTGTTTGATTCTAGCTGTACAAATAGGCTGTGGGATAGGACCTGGGATGGATGTGAGACTTAAAGTTTCCTTCTTTCCTTCAGTCAAGCCCTTGTCATCTAAATGCAACATCTGTTTTTCACTAGATATTGTTATTCCTGGACTCAACAGCTCCACAGATGTTCAGGCGAGAATCAATGCTGGTGAGAGCATCCATATCATCCGGGGGACGAAAGGTGAGAACCTAGCTAAGGGCTTTTGAGAGTGCTTGGCTGAGAACCTGAATAAAGACTTACGGTTAATTAGAGAGGGCATAGGCATCATCCCAGAAGAGCTTTGCAGTGGAGAGAAACGTAAGAAGATGGCTTTTCTGTGAGCTGACACTGAACTTAGATAACTGTTAGTGGCTTAAAAGAAAGTAATCGCAGGGTCTCATGCTCCTGTATCTTTTGCTTTTATGGGGAATCTTTGAATGAGTATATGCATAAAGAGACAGAAACTGAGGGAAAGAGTTGTGGAGTGGGTTGTAAGGAACATGTGTACTGTTGTGTGGTGTTAGCTACTGTGCATGAATTAGTACAGGTGGCAAAAAGCCCAATATGATAGCATGCAGAGTGACACATGCCTATAGTCCCAGCACTTGCAGATCTGTTAGTTCGAGCCCAGATCTATATAGTGAGTTCCAGGACAGCTGGAGCTACATAATGAGACTCTGTCTCAAACAAACAAACAACCCCCAATAAAACAGTAATCAGAGAGAGAGAGAGAGCGCGCGCTTGGTATGCTTCTGGTATCCTTACAGAGGAAGATGAGATCACTGAAATGAAAATCATGGGCTAAATAGTGCTAAGATACAAACAACTGAGCTTGTTTCCATAGTAGTGTTTTTTGTTTGTTATGGTTTTTTGGGTTTTTTTGTGGGTATTTTGAGACAGAGTCTCTTAGAACTCACTATGTAGAGTAGGATGGCCTTGAACTCACAGAGATCCACATGCATCACCACACCTAGCCTCATAGTACTCTGTAACTAAGTTCCATCCCTGCAAACCACTGCTGGAGGCTTTATGTTTAGGAGGAATTTTGTCCTAGCCTACATTGGATCGTACCTTAGACTTAGAGGAAAGGGACCACAAAGTACACAGACAGACACAGATGACTACCTAGTCTTATCGGGGCTTCTCTCAGTGTAGGGCCTTTCGACTATGTTCTCCTTAGAGCAGGGACTGGCAGACTGAGCTGTGTGTGGCAAGTCTAGCCTTCCAGTGCTACACCTGAAATCTAAGGCATATTTTACACTTTTAATTAGTGGGGAAAAAAAGGAGAAATCAAGAATAATATATTGTGATGTGGAAATTGTACGAAATTCACATTTATTTTTCCAAGATAACTTTATTTGAAGAAAATTGATAATACAGGTTTAAAAAGGAGGTGTAAGGCTAGATAGAGAGGTGACTCAGCAGGTGAAAGCACACAACAGCGCACCTGAGTTTCTCCTGGGTCCCACATGATAAAAGAGCCAAACTGACTTCCACAAGTTGTTCTCACACAGACAATAAATAACTGTAAAAGAAGATTCATTTTGGGGCTGGAGAGATGGCTCAGAGGTTAAGAGCACTGGCTGTTCTTCCAAAGGGCCTGAGTTCAATTCCCAGCAATGACATGGTGGCTTGCGACCATCTATAATGAGATCTGCTGCCCTCTCCTGGCATGCAGGCATATATGCAGATGGAGCACATGTATACATAAAATAAGTCTTTTAAAAAAGTTTTTGCTTTATGTGTGTGGGTGCTTTGCCTGCGTATGTGTCTGTCTGTACACCACATATGTACGTCATATGTGGGCATCATATCTCCTGGAACTGGAAAAAAAAAACAAGGCAGGTTAGTACCATATGGGAATAGGGTAGAGATCTTGAATTCTCCCAGCTGAGCAATAGAGGATACTGAAGCAGTCAGGGTCCGTTTTCTAGACCCAGAGGACCCAGAGCAGAGTGCCCTAGAACACAAAGCTTGTTTTCACAGGTCCTTCTTCCATTGCTCTGGTACTTTCTGGAGTAATTACCTACTTTTTTTTTTTTTTTAGAGGTTAAGCTCCATGAGACAGTTCTCTCTCTCTCTCTTAAGTATCCAAATATTAAAACTACTTGGTATGTGGTAGTTTAGCAATTGATTCCTGTGGACTAGATGAATCATTATGAATCCAGACTTTAGTTATCCTGCCTATTGCAGGAGTCCTGTGGAGGTGGGGTGAGATCTAATTTTATAGTCTTTCTAGCCCATGGAGTTTCTCAGGGCTGTGTTCCATGCAGGCTCCTGACAGTCTGTTTCATATCTCCTAGGGACATACATCCGCACTAGCGATGGCCGCATCTTTGCTGTCCGGGCGACTGGCAAACCAAAGGCCCCTGAAGATGGTCGGATGGCTGCCTCAGGTGTGGCAACCTTTCACTTTCTATTGACTGCACAGCATCTGTTTGGTTTATTTATAATTAATGTTCTTTTTGAATAAATAACGTGTAAGATTTGTAATTTAGAACATGAAAAAGGGATAAGGTGATGAAAAGTAGGTTTTCTTTCCTCCTTCCCCCAGTCAGCTATTGGTTCTCCCTAGAGGTTCTTCTCTTCTTTGTTGTTATAAAGATACTCTCTACATGCTGAAGGGTTGTGTGTGCACATAGAGGTATAATCATGTGCATTTTAAATAGATCGGGGTTTTTGCATTTAAAAAAAATTCTAATGTAGTATACTATATTCCCCTTTCCACGCACTAGTGATAGTTCGTTTTTATCCTTTGTTTTAGATATGCCTCAATGAAAATTTGCTATTGATTTATATTTATGGCATGTGGGTATATTTGGGACACAGCCTAGAAATAGGAATTTTGAGCTGTGTGGTGGTAGCACATGCCTTTAATCCTAGCACCCAGCAGGCAGAAGCAGGTGGATCTTTGAGTTTGAGGCCAGCCTGGTCTACAGAGCTAGTTCTAACACAGCCAGGGATACACAGAGAAACTCTGCCTCAGGAAACTGAAGAAAAAAAATGTAGGGTTTTTGTTCAAGGCTATATCCATGGCAAATGAACAATGTTAAGGATTCTTGCCAAGTTTGCCTTAATAGAAGTGGTTTTATGTATTATTCTGCCACTGAGATGGAAGAGCTAGACTGTCCTAACTTCACTGGTTTAGCCTTCACTTGTGGGTTGGAAGAAGGAGACTATTGAGTGTATTCCCTGCACCTAAATCCAAGGTAGTGTCATAGTATTTAAGCTTTATCTAGATTTTCTAGTTTTCCAAATTGTCACTCATACCTAGATTTTATTTTTTCTTAAACTTGCATTTGTATTTTTTTTCCCCCTGGTTAGAAAAAAAAAATTGACCAGTTTTAAGAAAAATTTCTAGCTGGGCATGGTGGTGCATTTTTTTTTTTTTTTTTTTTTTTTTTTGTTTCCAGACAGGATTTCTTTGTGTAGCCCTGACCTGGAATCTGTTCTGCACACCAGGCTGGCCTCGAACTCCCTGCCTCTGCCTCCCAAGGTCTGGGATTAAAGGCATCCAATGCTGCCATCCAGCAGTGGTGCACACTTTCAATGCCAGTATTCAGAAAGCAGAGGCAGGCAGGTTTCTGTGAGTTTGAGGCCAGCCTGGTCTACAAAGTGAGCCCAAGATAGCTAAGGCTACACAGAGAAACCCTGTCTTGGAAAAGAAAAACAAAAAAACAAACAAAAAAGATTTCTGTGTTTCAGACTGGGGAAAGTTGACTGGATGGTTTTTAAATATCAAATAATGGGAATTTAGGGGCTTAATTACAAGTTTTATACTTAATAGACTTGTTATTCCCTTAATCCTTCTTTTTTCCTTTTCCATTCTGGTTTCAGTTACCTATATTTTATCTCCAGGTTCCCAGGGGCCTTCTCTTGCATCCACAAGCAATGGCAGACACAGTGCCTCTTCACCCAAAGCCCCTGACCCCGAGGGGCTGGCCAGGCCCGTCTCTCCTGACAGCCCAGAAATCATCAGTGAACTCCAGCAGTATGCAGATGTGGCCGCTGCTCGGGAATCCCGTCAGAACTCCCCAAGCATCAGTGCTGCCCTGCCTGGCCCCCCGGCCCAACTTATGGACAGTAGCACCATTCCTGGGACAGCTCTTGGAACTGAGCCATGCCTTGGGGGTCATTGCCTCAATAGTTCTCTCTTGGTGACTGGCCAGCCCAGTGGTGGCAGGCACCCAGTTCTGGACTTAAGGGGCCACAAGCGAAAGTTGGCCACTCCATCTGCCACCCAGGAGTCAGTCCGTCGGCGGTCTAGGAAGGGCCATTTGCCAGCCCCCATGCAGCCCTATGAACACGGGTATCCAGTCTCTGGCGGGTTTGCCATGCCACCTGTCTCCTTAAATCATAACCTCACCACCCCTTTCACCTCCCAAGCTGGGGAGAATTCCCTGTTTATGGGCAGTAGTCCCTCCTACTACCAGCTGTCCAATTTGCTGGCAGATGCCCGCCTGGTGTTCCCAGTGACTACTGACCCTCTGGTGCCAGCAGGCCCTGTCAGTTCCTCTTCCACGGCTACCTCAGTCACTGCCAGCAACCCCTCCTTCATGCTCAACCCCTCTGTGCCAGGGATACTACCCAGCTATTCACTCCCATTCTCACAGCCACTCCTGTCCGAGCCGAGGATGTTTGCGCCTTTTCCTTCCCCTGTCTTGCCCAGCAACCTTTCGAGGGGCATGACTGTCTACCCAGGCTACCCGGGTAGACTGTCCCCACATTCAGGCTACCCGGCTGGTGGCCTCCTCCGGTCCCAGGTGCCTCCATTTGACTCCCATGAGGTTGCGGAGGTGGGATTCAGCTCCAATGACGATGAGGATAAAGATGATGATGTGATAGAGGTCACTGGGAAATAGCTAGGAAGCCCCTCCCCACCTCACTTGGGGCCCTAGCAGGTTGCCCACCAAACTGGAAGGCAGAGAACCTGGTCTTTCTCAAAATAGGGTACTTGGCAGGAGGGAAAAGAAGACAAAGGAGGGTGATTGGCCATAATGGCACACACTATTGCTGTTTATTAGAGGAAAAGGAAAAGAAACAAACAAAAGACCCCAGAAACTCCAACAGAGCCCGTAATAGTGGGAAATCAGGGACCGAAAACAGGAGGCCTGCCTCTTCCTTCCTGCCTTTCGTATCTGTCTGCTTATATGCCCACCTGAGTGTAGACGCTCAAGCCCATTCTGCCTATGAGAATATCTTTCCCAAGAAGTCTGCCTTACTGACTTTCTTAGTTTGGCCAGGGGAATGGGAGAAGAGTGAGGGAGATGAGGGTGGGCATGGGGAGCAGACTAAGATCCCATGTGAAGTGGTGTCTTTATATGAGGTTGGAAGGAAGCAGACTGGGCTGTGCGTGCGCATGCGTGTGCGCGTGCGTGGGTGTGTGCGTGGTGTGTGTATGTGTGTGTGTGTCTGTGAGAGAGCGCACATGTATGTAGCAGAACAAGAGTGAAGGTGGGAGGGGAGGTAAGAGGTAAACTAAAAAGAATTGAATTTATCTTTTTTGAAGTGTAAATCAGAGTGGTGGTTTATGGCTACTAAGTTGAACATCAAAGTGAGTCCAGGAGAAGAGCCATGAAAATCACAGCTTCCTTCTAGTTAGGCCGAGCTAACTCAAGTCCCTAGTCCCACATTTGTTTTGAACTTGCGGAAATCGTGAGAAAGCGAGCATTTCCAATCTCTAATCTTTCTCTGTGGGCTAGAAGTGCACTGCAGTATGAGGGTGGCGCAATGTGTTGTGGCTAGAGAAGACATGTTTCACCAGGACAGAACAAGGCCCTTAGGCTGCCTGTCCTGGTGGCCTTTCCTCTTCTTTCCCTCCCCATTAGAGAGCTCTACCTTAATTTATTTCTTATGGGCAATTATTTATTATTTCATTTGGGGGCAGGGGTGGTGGGGGGAGGTTATAAGGAAGATAGGGGATAGTAAAGGAAGTGCTAAGATATTCCAGACCTCCTAGCTGCTGGTTTAAAAAAAAAAAAAAAGAAGAAGAAGAAGAAGGGTCCCAGATGGACAGTAAATTAATTGACCAGGGAAAGAAAATTAGAATTAACCAGGAACTAGACTAAACAACTATGTTGTGGGGTAGTGTCTTCTCAGGAAAATCAGAGAGCACTGAGACTGCCTAGTTGCGGGTGCTGAGACTCATTCCATAGAAACTGAAACTTGGGATCATGGACTTTGCTACTGGGAAGTGAGTAACCTCCACATTTGGAACTATTGTCCTCTATGATGCCAGTTCTCTGCTGAATAGTGAAGCTGTGGATAGGTAGCTGCTGGGTTGAGGTAATGGACTGTTGATTTCCAGTTGGGAATTGTCTTGGCCTCCCTAGCATATCATGTGATCAGTGTGAGCCTGGTTTCTGGTGCCTCTATCTTCTCTGAAAGATCATGGGGGAGCCCTTCCTCTGTAGGAGTCTTAAATCTGGCTTTTGTTTTAAAAGAACACAAACATATGAGTCATTCTGGTCTCCCTCTCCTTGTTCCAAATGCCAGGATAGGGGTATCTAGTGCTAAAACATGAACACTGGCTATTTTATTGCTGTATACTATGTCTTGTAGCCATCTGACCCCCAAATTTTTCCACACAGTTCTTTCTGATGAATAGCTCCTGTCTGGCTTTACTTCCTTCCCTTGGGCTCCACCATGATTGGCCAACTGCTAGATTTGACTCCTAGTTCAAGAAATAACCTTAACCTCCTGCTACTCTTGACTAGCAACTTCCAGTCGTTGGGGGGAAAGAAGGGAGCTTAAAGGCAGACACTGTGGGATTGTTTTGAAGAGACAAGGAGATAGATGGCCGATGGGGTGTGTGTACTATCCAGAAACACCAAAAGTGGAACTTGAGCTTTTTTTCCCTCTGTTTTCATATTAACCCTGTCAGACACTTAACTCTTCTACTCATAGAAGCCTTAGATCTACAATTTAGCTATGCAAATAACCTTAAGAACATAAAAATAGCAGTTCCAATAGTCAAGACACTTAATTGGAGTGGGCTCTTAGGTTGAGGCTGGTGCAGTAGAAGTGAGCTAGTCCAGATCCTATAATTTGCAGAACACCCTCAAAACTTGGGTTATATGGATGCCTCTCACACCTTAGAACACTGAGCTCCCAGAGTTGTCTGTCTGTCTCCTGTGTGTGTCTATGTATCTGTATGTGTTACATGGATGCCTCTCACATCTTGGAACACTGAGCTCCCAGAGTTGGCTGTCTCCTGTGTGTATGTATGTTACATGGTATGTGTGTGTTACATGGATGCCTCTCAGACCTTAGAACACTGAGCTCTCAGAGTTGTGTGTCTGTATGTATGTCCTGCTATCAAGGGAAAGGGGTATTTTCTGTGTTTATATATATGAAATTACTAGAAATCATTTCAGTAGGGAACTGAAACCAGTCAGTTTTTAAGCTGTCAGGAAGTAAATGGGTATTCTGAGAGGTAGCATGTGTGTGCTTTACACTCTGTCATTCCAGAGCTTGGAATTCACTTAAGCATAGCAGCAGCCATAACTCTGAGCGGGTCTCTGGCTAAAGAAGGCTTTTTGTGGTAATGTGCAGCTTCTGTTGTGTAGGGGTGGGAGTGAGGTCAGGGGAGATTGAACTGCTTATTAGTTCCGTGGGCTTTGGCATCCCTCCATATTCCCAAACAAACCTACAAATGGGCTTTTCAGGAGGGCTAGTAGCAAAATGTGTATGCACACCAACCAGGAGTATGTGATGAGCAAAGCAGGAAACTTACCAATTATATTGTACTTAGACTGGAAACACTTGGTGGTAGGTGGGTGTGCCAACCTACGCTTGTAATCCTAGCCCTTCCGGAGCTGAGGCAGGTTGGTATGTACATGGTGAGACCCTGGGGAAAGGCAAAGATCTGGCTCACCTATTTTCTCTCGCTATTTGTCTTTCATAGAATGTTTTTAAGGGTCTCTCAAGTCCATTCACTGGGGTGTATTCTAAACTCTTACTATCTGGAACACTACTAAATTACGCAAGATGACACTGAAAATACTTGATTCCCTTTTCTTAGTCCTCTGTCCTCTGTAGGGATGGAGTAGGAGTTATTCAAGAAAGGAAGTAACCATGTTAGGTCAGATCCTTCTTGATGGTTTATCTCTGAAGTCCTCACCCCCTTGAGTTATGCTACTTCAGTATCTGGATTGTTTTCTGGCTTAAAGATAATTCTGTCTGGCCCTTGGAATTCCTTTTCTAGGAATTTATGTGTGGATTATATCCTTGTGACTTACAACTAAAAATGAAGTTTCCTACTCTGGGAGCATGAAGCAAAGAGCCGGGGTATGTTTTGCTGATGAGTTGGAACAAAACATCCATATAGATGGGACTGCTACTGCAGTCAGTATCTTAAGTCTGACGTTCATTGCTGTGGAACTGAGTACTCATCTCTCATGGCGGAAGGGTTGTTTTGTTTTGTTTTGCGGGGGGGGGGGGGGTTGGAGCTTTACATTCCTTATTTCTAGATAGTCCACCTGCTTCCCACTCCCCTTTGGTTTCTACATGACCAGTCCTTCTGAGCCATGGTTTTCTGTGCATTCAACTAGGTTGCTCTTTCCCCACTGTTACTGTTGAAGAATTCGCCCTCCGCCAGAGGATGACTTCCTAGCTCCTCTGCTGACTAGTTCCTGGGAAATTGGCACCGTAAGGTCAATCTGAAAAATGCTGAGCTGCCCATTGCTCACCTTCAGACTGTTTCCTTTCCACTGACTGACTCTTCTGCCCCTGTGTATTCAAATTGCTGTAATCCCTCAATGTCTGTTCTGTGTGACACTAGCTTGGCTCTAGGCCTTTTATGAATGTCGAGTCCTATAATGATGAACTAAGCAGGCAGCATCCACCCTCTTTGCTTTTCAGGGACCCAAGTCTGCACCTTTCCCCTGCCACGAGCCTGTTTGCTTTAGTCATCTAATGTGCTGGGGAGAGATAGCCAGGCGGGCTGCGTAATCTACAATGTAGAGGGCTAAAGGAAGTTTGGGCACTCTCTGCAACCACTACTAGGATGATATTCAGATGAGAGGGGACCTCATACTGTGACCTGACCCAGGACCCTCCCTGGAAGAGAGCTCAGCCCAGGTGTGTTTGAGTGAGTGTGTGTATGTGTTTGCATGTGTGTGCTCATGTGCACTGTGGTGTAAAATGACTGTTACCTGGTTGTGTAACTCAGGCTGGGGATTCACCAGAAGAATCCCTCAAGCCTGCCCAAAACAGGTTTTTTTTTTTTCTTTGTACCCTCTTCAGAGGGATCAGAGAGAGGGTCCAGGTGGGTTAAAGGGGTTGCAATGGATAACCACTAAGGCCACACTGCTGCCAGAGGAGTTGGGGGAGGGGGGAAGGGAGATGAGGTTGCCCCAAAGCCCTGGTACCTGGCTTTAGTTTTCTGTCTTCTTTCCTCAGGACACCCCTGAGGCCTGGGACCTGTGCCTGGCTTAGAGGACCATCTGCAGCTGGGTGTTCCAGCTGCTGGTGTGATCATGGGCTTCCCTCCTCTCTCACCAGGGCAGGTACTTCTGCCCCAGAGACTGGGCAACTGGCTGTTTCTATGACGTATTTATTTTTACTTGTGTTTCATGTCACTTTTTTAAAAAAGCAAACAGAACAATTGTAAGTCAGTATAACTGCCTATCAGTTTTCTTTATTTCTCTTTTTGTAAAATAAAATTTAAACTGAAGATGTTTGGTCGAGAAATTTTATGGACAGCAGCTTAGCTGGGTGGTAATGAAGCAAATATAGCGGAATAATGGCGTCTGTTGACCGTGTCATCACTGGGCTTTTTCTGCTTTCGCTCACCTGAAGAGGGTTGAGTACTCTCTGCTACTGCCTAATTTCCAGGCTCTAGGTAGAGCAATGAAGCTGACTTGGAGTTGTTGAATCCAGTTAGTCCTCAGCTGTGGGACATCCTGTAGAGGCTGCCCTTTCTAGGCTGGATGGCTGGAGATTGAACCAGCTTTCGTCATTCAGATGGTGGGCCGGGCAGTTGTGGGGAGCATTTTACACTGCATGGATAGATAGTCTCTGGCTGAGTTAGGGGCCTCTATCAGGGTTTGGAATGGGAGAGAAGGGGAAGAAATGGACAATTCCTCCTAATCTGGTAAGTTTAAGAGGAAGAGCCCTGGCGAGATATTGTCTGGCAATTTACATAGAACTAAAGCACCTCAGTTGGTGATTTGGGGGAAAGCAAGCCTGGCCTTACACTAAGGGAATGCTATTTATTGAGAGACTAGAATAGAATAGAAGGTGAGCAGGTCGTAGACCTGTTAGTGTAAGAAGGGCCTTGCAAAGGAGTCTGCTGCCCCCTAATGGCCACTTGATCGCTGGCATTGTTGGAAGCGCTGGGAGATGAAGGTTACTGGGCTGATCCCCATTTGCAGGCTAAATCTACAATACAGGGCTGAAATTCCAAAGCACACCTTGAACTCAGATACCTGGTTCTGGAGTTCCCAACCAGGCTAAAGGAAGTGAGCAGAGAGAACAAGATGAGGAAAGTGTCTCCTGATCATGATTTCCTGAGAGAGACTAATCTACGTCTGAGAAACAGAATTAACCCTGCACCCTGTATCTCAAGAGCCATATCTGCCTGGAACAGCCAATCATTACTGTCATTGATGTTCACAAGTAAAACAGCTATAATGACCCTCCTGCTGGCCCTACCCTCAAGACTTTTGAATAGCCAGCTGCCCATTCTGCCAGACTGTCCAGAACAGTGGAACAGACTTCCTTTTGTGGATGAGGTTCAAGGTCACCGGTTACCTACCCCACGGCTGCTGGCTTTTTCCAAAGTCGTCTTTCTAATGTACTTTGGGGTGATCATCTTTCCAAATAGCAATCTCATCAGAAACACCAAGATAGTCCTTAACCCAGCCTGTCTTGCAGCAAAATTTATGAACAGCCAAGTTTACAAGCATAGTAACCTTCCTCACCTCCACTATGAATCTGGGTGTCTTGGGAGGGGCCCCTAGCACATTGCTTTGAGGTTTATAGGCCATCAGATACTAGCTCAAGATGACCCTGTATTGAAGGAGCTTACACTTCGTGTGGTTATATGAAACGTAGTATATATAACCTAGGTTTTAGTAAACCAATAGGAACTCCAACAGCAACATGCAGGGCACTGAGGCAGAATCTTGGGAGAGAGGCATTCCCTGAGTAGATCTACTTCCCGGAGGCCAGGGCTTTCGTTTGGTTCTCTAAGTGTTCGCAGCCCCCGCCCTTGTAGGAATTAATAAAAGTTGGATGGAGGAATGGTCACGCCTATGGTCACCGATTTTGCGTTCTCCAGAGGTTGTCCAGAGCTGCTTTGTTAAGCCCAGACTGGGATTCAGCTTCCTCAGCTGTAAGACTTGAGCAAGCGGCCAGACCGTGCTGGGTCCGCAGACCTTTCATGAAGCCTCAGTAAGAGAAGGTGGCAAAGAGTAAGGGTGGTTCAGTTGCTAAGAGGCCGACATTGCCGTACTACGCACAAGTGCTAACCAGTCCAGTCCTGACTTCCTGGGCTTCTAGGGCCTCCAAACAAGCTGTCTTTCCCCGGTGCTTGGAGCCTGACGTCAGCGCGGTGCTTCCCCTCCCTCCCCGTCGGCCCGGATACCGTGCGGGTCCTGGTTATTGCATGGTCACCTTAAGGAGTTCTGCTTTGTCGGAAGTAGGAATGAGTGTTGTGGACGCCCTCCCAGCCAGGTGTATGCGTGGGGGCGGGGGGGAAGCGTGCACGTAACCAAGGAGACGGGGCGGGGCGGGCCTCCGCCCTCCGAGTCCGGGGCGCAGGCGCCCACAGCCACGGTCACGTCCCGCCGCGGGAGGGGCGGAGCCTCCGGGAGTGAGGGCAGAGCGCGCGCAGGCTCCACGGCCGAGCCGCATCTTCCTCAAGCGCCCGTCCGCGTCCGCGGGGCCGCCGCTGCGGTAAGGGCGGAGCCGGGGGCCGGGCGTTCGGGTCGGGGGGTCGGCCTCGGGCTCCCCGCACCCCCTCCCGTCCGGGTCTCGCGGCTGGAGCCGCTCTCGTCCCCGCGTCTGGCCCGCAGCTGCCCGGGCCTGGCTGCCGGGCCTGACAGCGACGGTGAGGCGGTCCTGACCCGTCGGTGCGGTGCGGGGTGCAGGCACGCCCCGGGTCAGTGGGACTGTGGGGGGAGCGGGCAGGCCTCAGCTCTCAGGTCCGCTTCCTGGGGCCGCGCGCCCCGGCGGCGACTGCAAACTTTAGCGCCTCCGAAGTTGCTGAGGGGCGTGAGGCCGCGAGGCGAGCGGGGGACGGGAAGCCGCCGGCTCGGAGCGGCGCCCCTCCCCGGCTTCTAGCGCCCAAGTTTGCCGGCGCAGGTCCCTTTAAGGGCCCGGCCCTCGGCGGGGCGCACGTGAGCGGCCTCAGGAAGCCTGCGCCGAGCCACAACTCCGACGCTTGCGGGCCAAGGAAGGCATCTGCCCCTGCCCGGACCTCTGACGTTAGTGGAAACTGAGGCCCAAGAGAGTGCACACGCGGTCCAAGGTCAGCAGCAGGGGCTGTGTTGATGCCAAGTGTGGTAGTTGGGCCCAGTGGAGGTTCCAGGCGTGACGCCGTGAGGCTTGATTTGGCCTGATTTCCCCGCGGGATCTGAGGGTGGGGGTCCGCTCGTTTGTAGACGGTCCGTGGGCTGTCCCTGAAAAGGGGTTGCTCAGGACCTGGAGGACCTGGTGCCCTGCTTTGCTTACTGCCTGTGTCCAGGGCTGGGATGACTGTTCCTTTCTGCCCCCAGCGTTGGAGTACCGGAGCCCTGCTGTACTGGATGCTATGAGTTGCTAAAAGTGAGCCTGGCTTTTTAGGTGAGCCTCTTCATCCCCTGTCTTTGCCTTTCTCTATTAGGTGTAGGAAAATTTGCCTTACTTCTTCCTAGGCTGACCAAATCTCTGAGAGTGGGCAGAAACATATCCCCTCTTTTCAGAGCAGGCTGGGAAGTGGACAAGAAAGATTGGGACCCAACTTCCCTTACAACGAAGCATGTGGCAATGCTTGTCCACTCCCAAGGCAGGCTGTGGCCTAGATGTTGACAGCTTTCGCCTTGAGTTCAGGAAGGTCCAACATGGATGAAATACCTTTTTGGAAGCCAGAGGAGAGAAAAACTGGCAGTGGACTGGAGTCAGACAATTTGGGTTCGCGTTGCCCATGTTTGGGTCCAGGTGGCCCAGTGTAATACCTGTGTGACCTTGAGCAGGTATCTTGACCTCCAACCACTTATTTCCTACCTACCTTATTGGATTGTTATGAGGATAAGTGAAGGAGCTGAGTTTCGACATTCAGACAGTAGTACCTAGGAATATTAAGTATGAGTGGAAGATTTGTTATCAGCATTATCAGAGAAGAGAATGGGACTAACTGGAGGCAGGATGAGTAGGGCAGAAAATGCAAACAGAAAAGATAATGAAGCTTATAGGCTGGAGTACAAGAAGCATGAGGAGACCAGTGGGAGGCACCTCAGTGTCCTGACACCAGAGTTAGAAATATTTTGGCTTCTTTGTAATGTCAGTTCTGTGTGCATCTTACACTCAGAGCCTTCATATGTGCATGGAGCTAAGTTTTCTGTAGGGATAAAGCATTGCTTTTCCAGCTCTAAAATCTTTTACTTTTTAAATAGGAATTTAATTTTTTTTTTTTAATGTGTATGGGTGTTTTACCTGCATATACGTCTGTGTGTCACTTGCATGCCTAAAGCCTGTGGAGACTAGAAAAGGGTGTTGGATCCTTTGGATCTAGAGTTACAGGCAGTTGTTAGCCACCATGTAGGTGCTAGGAATTGAACCTGAGTCCCCTGGAAGAGCAGTCAGTGTTGTTAACTGCTGAACCATCTTCCCAGCCCCTTAAAACACTGTGTGTGTAGTGTGTATAGGTCAGAGAATAACTTAAGGGAGTTGGTTATCTCCTTTCTTTTTTGGGGTGGGGAGGGGATACAAAGATATTTATGAGTCCATTCTTACTGGATAGGATATTCTAAAGACTTTTAAGAAATTCTGAGTGTTATAGAAACATTACAGTGTCCATGGGGATCAAGCAGATGACACAAATGCGTAAATTAATGAAAAGGCAAGAATGATTGGTCCTAGAAATGACTTGTAGAACACTTGCCCTGTTTCTTAGATTTTAAAATGCACACAAATAAACACATACAAGAATATCCAACCACAAGTAACAACTATTTTATGATTCAGGCTAGAAGTGGCCTACCACACCCTCTGTAGGCATCAGTTGCCCAGAGCAGACAGGATACTGTAACAGCGATAGAAAGACTTCCAGATACTCAAAGGCTTGGTCAAGCTCCATAGTGAGCTGCATTGGTGAGCCTCCATGGAGACTAGAGACTTCTCCCCCTTGCTCTTATTGTGCCAGCTCTCTCCTTACACCATGTGGGTTATGGGGATTGAACTTAGGTTGTTAGGCTTGGCAGCACGCACCCTGCAATCTCACCGACCCTTAAGTATGAATTTTAAGTAACTAGAGCGGGAATGTTTCCCTGGTAATGTTCATGTTTCTCTTTCTTTTTAATCGTTCTTCTGTGTGTTGTGATCCCTCAAATGAAGCCCTGTGTAAGAGTCTGCCTAGAGTGTTTCACACTGGCTTCTGTGTTGATCCTGGGTTCATTCCTGTAGATTTTCTCTGTCTCTTAGAGGTAACTCTGACTTTTCCCTCTTTTGTGTTTCTACTTCTAACAGCCTTTT